GAGGGGGGTCCCCTGCCCAGGCCTGAATCCTGGGCCAGAGGCATCAGGCCTGGGCCAGGGGCGGAGCCAGCAATCGGAGGGGTCTGGGGGTCCCCTGCCCAGGCCTGACGCCTGGGCCAGAGGCATCAGGCCTGGGCGGGGGGCAGAACCAGTGATCGGGGGGAAATGAGGGTCCCCTGCCCAGGCCTGACACCTCTGGCAGAGGCGTCAGGCCTGGGCAAGGGGCCGATCCTGTGATTGGAGGGTGATGGGGGTCAACGCCTGAGGGCTCCCAGTATGTGAGAGGGGGCAGGCTGGGCTGAGGGACACTAACCCCCCCACCACCACCCAGTGCACAAATTTCGTGCACCGGGCCCCTAGTATATTATAAGTGACAATGGGGCGCAGACAGGGAGAGGCAACTAGTTCATGCTAAGGTGGAGAGCTCGGTCCCCTGAGATGGCAACTGCCCGCAGTGGGAAGGTGGGGCAGGAGGCTGTGCAGGGTTGTGCCCAGCGCTGGGCTGCAGGTCCTGGGGCCACACAGCACACAGGTACACACTGGGGCTTTACCTTAGGCTCCAGCTGAGCGTCTGCACAGCGAGCTCATGAGATGTGTTCTGTCCTTGTGCTCATTTTTCAGATAAGGAGCAGGACACCAAAATTAAGTCACTCACCTGGAGTCACACAGCTAGGAGAGAGCGGAGCTGGGCACTGAAACCATGTTCCCTTTCATAAGGAGGCCCTGTCACTTAGAGGGAAGGTCACGGGCCCTGGAGCCATATGGCTTGGGTCTGAATCTTCTCTCAGGCCCTCCATACCAGCTCTGCAAGTTGGGTAAAGTTGCTTTACCTCTCTGAGCCTCGGTTTTCTCACCGGAAAATAGAGATTATAACACCCAACTCATAGAATATTATAGTCTGGTATGTATAATGTTTAGCATGTGCCTTGCAGGAAATAATCATCTTTGACATTCTCAGCAGCAACGGCATAATTACTACCTTTGACATGAAGATGAGATAACGTCGATTTACCCAAAACAACAGCAACTCCCATGAGTCACTATGCAGAATTGGCAAACTGAAGTGATAACCTGTGCTGCTGGCCAGCCATCCTATATAATAATAATAAAAGGCTAATGTGCAAATTGACTGAACAGCAGAATGGCTGGTTGCCATGATGCGCACTGGCCACCAGGGAGCAGACGCTCAATGCAGGAGCTGCCCCCTGGTGGTCAGTGCACTTCCATATGGGGAGTGCCATTCAGCCAGAAGCTGGCTCATGGCTGGCCAGCGCAGTGGTGGTGGCAGGAGCCTCTCCCACCTCCGTGGCAGCACTAAGAATGTCCAACTAACGGTTTAGGCCCAATCCCTTGGGGGCCTAAGCCTTTAGTCAGACATCCCCTGAGGGCTCCCTGGCTGCCAGAAGGATGTCTGTCTGCAAGCTTAGGCCTGATCCCCTGGGGAGTGGGCCTAAGTCAACAGGTGGACATCCCCCAAGGGGTCCTGGACTGCAAATGGGCGCAGGCCGGGCTGAAGGCCCCCCCCCCCTCCGAGTGCACAAATTTTTGTGCACTGGGCCTCTAGTAAAAACAGTAAGAGGGATTTTAGTGGGGAAGAAACTACTCAGCTCTGGGTGTGGAACAGGGAACTTTAAGGAATAACCTTTGAAGACATACGTAGTTCTTGTTCTTAAAATACAAGGGGAACAGTTCACTTGTTTTATAAAAGGAGACCAAGGGACTCTACAGTGTTAAATTGAGCCATTTTCTTACTTGAACTGTTGGTTATAAAAAAATAATAGCAAGTGAATGAATGAATAAAATGAGATGAAAATAAATTAACAAAATAAATGTAAGATTTGAGGTCTTCATAGACTATTTACTTGGAGGCCCCTAAGAAATAATGCTTTGAGCCAGGCAAATACTTTCTGTATTACTTCCGAATAGACAATGTGTTCCTCTCACAGCCAGATCCAGCAGTATCTTTATGAGCAAAGTTATAACTTTGAAGAAGTCCAGCTTCAAAGAATTAAGTTAGAGCGGGGAGCATTCAGATTCCAGACAGTCCCTCTGAAAGCAGAAAAGCATAGTCCACTGGCATTTGCAGTCACATGTGGTCCTCCTAGAAGCACTGGCCCCTTGGTGACTGCTAGTCCAGCTCCTCATCAATCACATCCCACAAGGACTGCACCTGCAAACAGGACTGAACTCAGAGCTCAGGATGTTCTGGGGCATGCTCAGCAGAAAGCAGCAGTACAGTCATCTTCTTGCTGAACAGTGGCCACCCAGCACAGGCACACAGAGAGTCCAGCTCCTTGGGCCAACAGAGGGAGCCTCGAAGCCTTGGTGGGTCAGTGTCCTGCCCTAATGACCACCTCAGGAGCTACAGGGCATGGCTCTTGCCCCCAAAGGTCAGGAAATAAGCTGCTTGAGGTACCCAGTGATGTTGGGTCAGGCCACATGGAGCGTGATGCAGGTCGGGTTCCTATAAGTAGCAATCAGTAAGGGGGTTCTGCTCTAGACCCTTGACCATGAGAGTTCATACCTCAGTTTTCTATTTCTCCTAAATACAACTGCTGCTAACGAACTTACTCTGGAAAGTATTTTGATGACATTAACACTTTAGATTAGGCATTTGATGGCTATGATGATTGTAGTTCAGAAGTTCTTACTAATAAGCTCAATCTTTCCTTTGCTAAAATTAAAAATAAATAAATGAGTTAAAAATTAAGTTGTATATAGGATTACATTTGAATATGTTGAAGAAAGTTGCAAGAAAAATTAGTGAAAAATCTGTTTTATAAAATACAATTCTATTTTAGGTTCATACACTCAAGTCCATTTTAGAATGTTAGGGTGCAAGCAGTGGTTATTGAGCATGACTACTATATACTTACACAATGTACTCAAGTGCTAACAAATCCCAAGATAGGTAACAACTTCTGTGATCTATTGTAAGCATATCTTTTCCTTATAATCTGGTTAACATAACTAAATTTCACTACATTGAAGGTTGCTAATCAAAGGCAAACTTTTATTTCTATCTAAATCAGCATAAATTTCAATCAAGTGCCTTCCAACTTAATTGTGGACATTTATAACCTGTTCATTGATGGCTGCTATTTCACTTTCCCACTAAAAATACACAGGCTTGACCAGTTCAGGTGTACAGTAGATGGCACTAAAGATAGTGCTCAGTCAAAATACTTTAATAATTACAATCATTTATGAACTGTTATAGAGTACTTTGCTAACAGGCCAAAAAACAAAATAAATAAATATGGCTTCTGACCTCTTAACATCTTAAATAAGTTTTTTTCTTATCTTCAAACCTCAGGACACCTGTGATTTAGTAAATGGGATTGGAGCTGAGAAAAATTAAGGTAATATAGAGCAGAGAGTACAGTTACTATCATTAATTTTTAATGGGTGTTAAAACCACTGGCATCTTCCCATTGCTGAGCCCACTTACTAGGCCACTGGGCATTTAGTAAAGAGCTTGGTGTCCTGACCTTACTCAGCCTAAAAGGCTCTACCTTCTAGGTCATCGTCATTCAGGCCTCCACTCACCCACCTCTGCTGAAAGGCCTTCCTTCCACAAGCAGTCCCATGAGCATTCACCCTGGTCCTGCCTGTTTTCCTCATCGCTACCACTGTCTCAAAGTATCTTGCTCATCTATTTAGTAGAACAAAAAAAGCAAGGAAGGTGTCTATCCTGCTCATCTTTGTAGCCCCAGAATCCTAAAGAGTTCCCTGGCACATAGTAGGTGCTCAGTAAATATTTGCTGAGCAAATGAATGAGGAGAGTCTAAAGTGAGGTCTATTCCTAAAGGTAGCGGTTTTGAGATCTGAAATACTGTCCAGAACCACCACTTGGCCAATTAACTTTCCGTGACTGTTCTTCAGTGAGATCTGCCTTCTGTGGGCTGCTAATAGGTAGCGAATGCCTGCGAGGCGCCGGACAGTAAGGATAACCAGCACTTAATCCTGGCTACAGCCCCGGTGACAGATATTTAAATCCCAGATTATTTGATGAAAGTGATATGTCAGCAATTCATCGCTTCTATTTCTGACAGAATTTCGAGACATCAAAGTGTTTTTTCCCCCACTAGGATAGTGTTAACAGACTAAATTTTTTCCTTTGTGCTTAAAGCTGGCCCAGTTGTTGTTTTCAGTATCTTTTCTCTACCAGCAAATCTTTTGCCAAAGAGCGGTATAATTTGGAAATTGCACCTGCGTCTTTGGGAGCTGAAGATCCTGCTGTGGAGTCACCACTTCCTCTGTCACCCTGGGAGTGTCTGCCACCTTCCTCTAAGACAGCGGTTCTCAACCTGTGGGTCACGACCCCTTTGGCGGTCAAACGACCCTTTCACAGGGGTCGCCTAAGACCATCCTGCATATCAGATATTTACAGTATGATTCATAACAGTAGCAACATTACAGTTATGAAGTAGCAACGAAAATTTTATGGTTGGGTCACAACATGAGGAACTGTATTTAAAGGGCCAGAAGGTTGAGAACCACTGCTCTAGGATGACAGGTGTTGTCTTAGGGCATCAAGATCACTTCCCTCCGGCTGAAGTTGCAGGGTCAGTTAGCTGGCAGAGGTGGTTTTTCTCTTGTCCCGCAGTATGATTTACTTTCCCTCCAGTGATGAATGATTTCTCCCCAGCTTTGGCGCCCAAAAGCTATTTCTCTCCTGTTTTTCCTCAGAGAGCCTGAGAAGAGAGCCATGCACTTGCCCTTCTTTTGTCTTATCAGCTGCTCACCCTGCCCTCTATTGTTCTGTGTTTGCAGTGGGGAACCGACAGAAGGGAGAGCACTCCATAAGGGTGGCTGGCAAAGAGAAGTGCGTCTACTTCTTCTGGCAAGGCCGGCAGTCGACTGTGAGTGAGAAGGGCACGTCAGCTCTGATGACAGTGGAGCTGGATGAAGAAAGGGGTGCCCAGGTACGTCCTGGAGAGTGCTGCACCAGAAATGAGAGAGCTGGCCCAGCATGTGTCGCCTGGTCCCCTAAGGGCCCGATTCCAATGAACAAAGACAACTCACCCAACACACTTTGAGTCCTGGTCCGGCTGCTCCAGACTTCAGGCTGCACCTCATTTTTCTCCCCCCACCACTGGGCCAAGAAGGCCCACCTGTTGTAACATGGTCTTCAACAAAATGTACCTGCAAATAGCAGATGTTTACAAAGCCTTGGTTTTCAGTAGTAGTAACTGTCCGTTATTAAGCTGGCTCTAGGCTATAATGGTGAGGAAGACCAGGACAGATATGGTCTCTTTCAAGTTTGTGGGGACAGACAGATAATAAATAAGTCAACGAAACAGCCATGTAGTTTTACATAGCAGCAAATCCACAAAACAAGGACAAAAGGCTCATAAGTGTTTTTTTAAAGTTTCCACCTAACTAATCATCAAGGAAAGGGACATAATAAAATAAAAAGATGCTATTTTCCATTTCTAAACTTGGTAGAGATTTTTTTAAAGTCTGGATCGGGGCTGGCAAGGGCTCCATGGGATGAGAACCTTGCATGCTTCTGCTGGAAGTGTAACTGGAAGCAGCCATCCTGAAAAACAGTTTTGGCTCAAAGAACCTTAAATGTTCTTAAGCTTTAATCAGTTATTCCACTTACACAAATGCACCCTAAGGAGATATCAGAGATTAATGTAAAAATTAATATTTCCAACATCTGCATTCCTTAGACTAGCTCGAGTGGTTTTTCTAGACCGGGCCAGATTGCAACACCCCTGGCTCTCCAACCCATGGCCTACATTCTCAGCAGCCTGCCCGAAAGGGCCAGAAGGTTGAGAACCACTGCTCTAGGATGACAGGTGTTGTCTTAGGGCATCAAGATCACTTCCCTCCGGCTGAAGTTGCAGGGTCAGTTAGCTGGCAGAGGTGGTTTTTCTCTTGTCCCGCAGTATGATTTACTTTCCCTCCAGTGATGAATGATTTCTCCCCAGCTTTGGCGCCCAAAAGCTATTTCTCTCCTGTTTTTCCTCAGAGAGCCTGAGAAGAGAGCCATGCACTTGCCCTTCTTTTGTCTTATCAGCTGCTCACCCTGCCCTCTATTGTTCTGTGTTTGCAGTGGGGAACCGACAGAAGGGAGAGCACTCCATAAGGGTGGCTGGCAAAGAGAAGTGCGTCTACTTCTTCTGGCAAGGCCGGCAGTCGACTGTGAGTGAGAAGGGCACGTCAGCTCTGATGACAGTGGAGCTGGATGAAGAAAGGGGTGCCCAGGTACGTCCTGGAGAGTGCTGCACCAGAAATGAGAGAGCTGGCCCAGCATGTGTCGCCTGGTCCCCTAAGGGCCCGATTCCAATGAACAAAGACAACTCACCCAACACACTTTGAGTCCTGGTCCGGCTGCTCCAGACTTCAGACTGCACCTCATTTTTCTCCCCCCACCACTGGGCCAGGAAAGCCCACCTGTTGTAACATGGTCTTCAACAAAATGTACCTGCAAATAGCAGATGTTTACAAAGCCTTGGTTTTCAGTAGTAGTAACTGTCCGTTATTAAGCTGGCTCTAGGCTATAATGGTGAGGAAGACCAGGACAGATATGGTCTCTTTCAAGTTTGTGGGGACAGACAGATAATAAATAAGTCAACGAAACAGCCATGTAGTTTTACATAGCAGCAAATCCACAAAACAAGGACAAAAGGCTCATAAGTGTTTTTTTAAAGTTTCCACCTAACTAATCATCAAGGAAAGGGACATAATAAAATAAAAAGATGCTATTTTCCATTTCTAAACTTGGTAGAGATTTTTTTAAAGTCTGGATCGGGGCTGGCAAGGGCTCCATGGGATGAGAACCTTGCATGCTTCTGCTGGAAGTGTAACTGGAAGCAGCCATCCTGAAAAACAGTTTTGGCTCAAAGAACCTTAAATGTTCTTAAGCTTTAATCAGTTATTCCACTTACACAAATGCACCCTAAGGAGATATCAGAGATTAATGTAAAAATTAATATTTCCAACATCTGCATTCCTTAGACTAGCTCGAGTGGTTTTTCTGACCGGGCCAAGATTGCAACACCCCTGGCTCTCCAACCCATGGCCTACATTCTCAGCAGCCTGCCCGTGGTCTCCCAGCACCCTCGTGGGCAGCCCTGCACATCTTTCCAACCTTCCCTGTTCTTGCACAAGTCCCTACTGCTCCAGTCTTCTTGCTGCTCCTCACACCTCTTCCTACCCACCCAGGGCCTGTGCACTCTTACCCCTGGGTCTGTACGTAACTCTTAGGCCATATGATTCAGGGTTATGCTATTAGCTCGAATGATTCAGGTTTACGTTCCAATGTGCTATTTTTCTCATAGCACTTACTACTATGTAAAACTACATGGTTGTTTTGTTGACTTATTTATTATCTGTCTGTCCCCACAAGCTTGAAAGAGACAATATCTGTCCTGGTCTTCCTCACCATTATAGCCTAGAGCCAGCTTAATAACGGACAGTTACTACTACTGAAAACCAAGGCTTTGTAAACATCTGCTATTTGCAGGTACATTTTGTTGAAGACCATGTTACAACAGGTGGGCTTTCCTGGCCCAGTGGTGGGGGGAGAAAAATGAGGTGCAGCCTGAAGTCTGGAGCAGCCGGACCAGGACTCAAAGTGTGTTGGGTGAGTTGTCTTTGTTCATTGGAATCGGGCCCTTAGGGGACCAGGCGACACATGCTGGGCCAGCTCTCTCATTTCTGGTGCAGCACTCTCCAGGACGTACCTGGGCACCCCTTTCTTCATCCAGCTCCACTGTCATCAGAGCTGACGTGCCCTTCTCACTCACAGTCGACTGCCGGCCTTGCCAGAAGAAGTAGACGCACTTCTCTTTGCCAGCCACCCTTATGGAGTGCTCTCCCTTCTGTCGGTTCCCCACTGCAAACACAGAACAATAGAGGGCAGGGTGAGCAGCTGATAAGACAAAAGAAGGGCAAGTGCATGGCTCTCTTCTCAGGCTCTCTGAGGAAAAACAGGAGAGAAATAGCTTTTGGGCGCCAAAGCTGGGGAGAAATCATTCATCACTGGAGGGAAAGTAAATCATACTGCGGGACAAGAGAAAAACCACCTCTGCCAGCTAACTGACCCTGCAACTTCAGCCGGAGGGAAGTGATCTTGATGCCCTAAGACAACACCTGTCATCCTAGAGCAGTGGTTCTCAACCTTCTGGCCCTTTAAATACAGTTCCTCATGTTGTGACCCAACCATAAAATTTTCGTTGCTACTTCATAACTGTAATGTTGCTACTGTTATGAATC